TAAAACCACCAAGTCCTCAGACAGTGAGAAAATAGAAATGATGTATAGTAAAAAAAAGATGCATCGAGATGCATCGATAATCGTTTTATAATCGCATCGCAGCCTCTGAATCGTAATCGAATCAAATCGTGAGGTGCCTAGAGATTCCCACCCCTAATACATACATATACATACATATATGCACATATATTCTGAAATGTATGCCTGACCCTTTGTGCTGTGTGTGCATATATGACCAGGTATCAGATTTCAGTTTTGGGAGTCATCATGAAGTCCGAATTTGTCCATCAGAATAAAGAGTGTGAGGAAGTGTCAGTCGGTCTGAAGGACACCAGGAGGACTGCCAGGAGAACCCAACCCAAACATCTTCCAACTCCATCAAATAGACATCTCCTGTTCTTCTGCCTTTTTATTCTGTTCTTCTTCTCAGTTTATCTTTATCTTCTGTTCTTCACCACAAATATAGAACAAACACATATTTAATAAAAGAATAAAATAATTGGTGTTACCACCAGGACACTGGACTCCTCAGCTCATAATCTAATATTCCTGTCTGCACTGTCTACTGCCCACTGCACTGTTAACTGCCCACTGCACTGTCTACTGCCCACTGCACTGTTAACTGCCCACTGCACTGCTTACATCAACCATGACTGCTGCTACATTACACACACCCAGTGTTCATTCCTGTTGTATACACTGGACACTTTTACTTTTTTAAATAAATCCTCACTTCACAAATATAAATAGTGTAATAGTCGATTTATGTCTCGTCCCATTTTTGTTTTTATTATATGACTAATGCTCTACCTGCTGAGCTGACCTGTTTTCTCGTCCAGCACATTTCATTGTACAGTTGACCCTGTGTAAACCTACATAGCACTAATAAGTTATATATGACTAAGTTATAAGTCATATGTTGAGTTCAGTTGAGTTAAAGAGAAAATGTTTTGATAGAACAGTTTGAGAAGCACCTACAGTCTTTCAGTGCTGGACACCACTTTATTAACCCCTTAAATGGTCAAGGCCCAAAGGCAGGACCACAGTGTCATTACACACTTCTTTAAGAACAGCTCAGCCTGTTTGCACTGAAGTCCCATAGTTACTGAATAATAAGCCTTAGTATGTAATGAGCGATTTTGGGGAGTTAATTAACCCTTTTTCACAGCATCCATAAAAGGCAGTTTCTGCCAGTTTTGGAGATCCATCAGTTGCATTTTTTTCCTCAATAACATTGACAGAATGTGGTGAACAGAATTTTTATCTTCATTAATAAGCAAACAAGCCAATGTTTATGAAAGTGTTGTTATTGTGTTTATATGCTCTGTGTTTATTGTGTCAGTTGTGCAGGATTGCTTGATATGAAGAAAGTTTTTTTTTATTTTAACATGGTCGTCTTTGTGAATATTGCTTTTCACAGCAGGGGTTCTCACTCCTCCACTTTCACAACATTTAGTTAAAAAATTTCAAGTATATTTTTTATTCTGCTGGAGGATCGGCCACTAGAGGGCCTGTAGAAAGAGGTTAAATTGTTGTAATATTGTTTTGGAGTGGACATTTCATCTCGTTGATTGTTCATTTTCCGTCTGTCAGTGAGATGCAGTGGAAAAATGTGTGTGCAACAAAAAATATATCAAGTTTGGAACCATGTTGTTAACCACAGGGGCTGTGATAGCAGTAATTTCTCAAAAATTCCATTCATTTTCTCATAGAGAAATCTGGCTCTAATTTGGGCCTGAAGGCGACCACAGAATGATAAATAAAGATTTCTGATAAATAATAATAATCTTTGTGGTTCTGTCTGAAATAAAAACAATGTTGAGGCCAAAAATAAAGTCTTATTTTTAATGCCTGTTTTCTTTGAAAGAGAGGATGAGATTAACCACACTAACCCAGTTATACTAACCACCCCATTCACACTATAACATCTCCACCAGGAGGTGGCGCTGTGGATGCTGTTATATGAATCTGGGGGTAAAATAGTGCTGTGGAAGCTGTTTTATGAACAAGTAAAAGCCATTATTACTTCTGCGATTCACTTCCTGCTGAAAGACTTGAGGTTTCCTGGAGATCTCAGTACTGAATCTAATGAGTTTTACACTGATATGTCGTTACCTCTATCAGTGGAGATGATCTTAAACCACTGTCAATTCAACAAGCTCATTAGCTGAATAGATCAGAATGAAGGATATGTAAAAAATCACCAAGGTCGAGTGGTTTAGTGTGAAAACTCTGTTCTAGAGAAACTACAGAGTCAGAATTGTTCACAGTGGTGGTGATAGGAACCAGACGTCCACCTCTAAAAGCTCCCTCACAGGAAGTTCTTACATAAATTGGGTATGAAGTCGATTAATGGCTTCTGGTTCCCATCACCACCACTATCAAGAGTCTCTACAATCAAGTATTTCACACCAAACCACTCTGAATGACCACTCTGAATGACCACTCTGAATGACCGCTCTGAATCAACTGTTAAAAATGGTTGAATTCGCCTTTAAGTAAATAAAGAAATCGTATCTTTAAGGCTACAAAAGTAACATAAAATCATGTCCCAGCACCCTTCATACATTAACATTGAGAAAAAAGTTTTAGATAATTAAGATATATAAGTGTGTTTGAGGTATAACCTCCACATACAGGACTGTGCGAAAGTCTTAGCCCCTCTGAGAAAATGATCTGTAAAGCTATTTATGTGGGCTGTAAGTATTTAACTGTTTCATTAAAATCATCTAAAATTGAGTTGATCCTCTTGCTCCTGTTGTCCTGCTCTGTAGTTCATTTCTGTAAAGACAAACACAAAAACAACAGTCATTCAGAGATGAAAGATTTACTGCCATTCATACAGTATCAGCTCTAAACTGACCTGTAGACTCATAATCCACTGCAGAGAAGATGACCTTCATTACCAGGACCTTTTTAGATAAGAAAGCACCTCACTGACCCGGCTTATAACTCACTCACTCATTCATGTGTAACAAGACTGTCCACAAGGGGGAGCTACTGGCACTCTAGTAACTTCTGTGTACATCCAGACCAGCAGGATGTCCTATGGGGTGCTACACAGACCTTATAACACTAACATTTCACATGTAAACAAGTGTAAACAAGTGACTTTCACTGAGATGTTCAGGTCAGCACACACACTATAGATTAATATAAAACACAGCTATGATAAAATGTGAGAGTTTATGAGGGTCATTAACAGATTATGCTTGTAAACTGTAAACTACATCTAGTTACGTTGGTAGGTAAGGCAGTATGCTTTAGCCTGGTTCCAGCAGCTGCTCAGTTTAGGCTACAGGCTCTGTAGTTGCTATATTAGCGATTAGATGAGAAATTAAAGCTATATTGTGTATCTCCAATGAGGATGACAAGGTTCACTCTTAACCAGCAAACTGATGGCAAAATTTCATGTAACATTATTAAGAAATCAGCCGGTACATTAGACTGTATTATGTCTGTTAACTGTATGAGTAGCCTGTCCTTCTCAGTAGCTGGAGTTTAGCTCTACCTCTGCAGCAACTCAGGAGGAGAACCATCCACAGCAGGATGACCCTTAAGGTTAAGTTTAGGAAAACATGAAATACACCCTGTTTACACGGCCTATGTAACTTGTAATACACCCTGTAACCGGTTACCACAAGCAACATTGAAGTAAATAACTTCTACCTGATACTTAAGTTTTTGTTTTGATATATGCCCGTATGATTGGAATAATCCCTGTTTATTAATCATATTCACAACATCTAGAAGAAGAAGTCATGGTCTCTGTGCTGCAAACAATCTCTATTCCACAGTCTCCTTTAGATCCAGTGCACTGCTGTTCAGCCAATCAGCAGTGCAGAAAAATACTGAGGTAAAAGCCTCTGGAGAAAATGCTCTTGACCAATCAATGGCTGTTGTTAGGCAGAATTAGCACATTGCTTCAGAACGATTGGCCACCTTTTCTCCAATCACAAGCTTCAGACTCTGGGTTTAGTAAACAGGACTACAGCAAACTCAGGACTACTGAGGAACTCTTTTTAATCCATTTGAGAGACAGAATTCATGTTTATACAGCACAGAGACCAGTTTTGGTGAGAATTTAGAATTAAATGTATGTATTTAGATTATTCTGCTTATTATGAACTTTCAGCTCTGAAGCTAAAGTAATGTATATGTTAGCATGTAATTCTGTAATCTTATTTTGGAGCATTATTTGTTGAGTGCTGTGCTGAACAGGCTGGTTGTGATAGTGTTCAGAGCGTTTTGTGCTGTTCATAAGCTTGATGTTGATAATATGTGCTGTCCAGCTGTTTGACATGTTATTTTGTCGTGTGCGTCTTTTATAACTCATATTTATTAGGTTTAGCAGGCTGAGGGTCCCCACAAGTGAGAGTAATTAGCCATTAGCGTCAGGCTGCTTTTGTGTACATCATCAGAATGGAGGAACTGCATAAATAACATCGGATGGAAGCAAAACTGATGGTCAGATTTAAGATAAAAGCTTTCTCTAGATTTCATTCTATCAGTGTTTCATTATAGCAAATAAATGAAAGTAGGGGATGGAGAAAGCTGATAGCTAACCAAATCTGAAAACAGTGGTTAACTAGCCTTTCTCTGCTAAGTTAGCGGTTAGCTAGTACAAAGTTAGAGTAACTGTGCTACATGAACTTGATGTCGTATACAATCATGACGGATTTTGTTCTGTCATGTTACCATTACGGTTAATTGTAATGTTTGAGGCCAATAAACTGTTAGTGAACTGGATGTGGAACGAACTGGAAGAGTGAAGCATAAAGCCTCTCAGTGACAGCGTCCACTGGGTGTGTAAGGTAGCATTATCTCAGTGTCTCTCCACAAAGACTGATATCTGCTCTGTGCGGCTGAAGATTCCAGTGTTTCCTTACCTCAATCTTTCACCATCATTCACAAGGAAAAGACGAGAAGAACAGCTGGAACTACAATGAAGATTTTTCCAAATAATCTTCCGTCTGAGCTGAAGAAACTTCTACCTGAAACACAGAGTGTTAAATCTGTGTCAGTCCTGTTTCTACTTCACCAATCAAATCTGGAAGAAGACATTTTTGAAAGATTTCTCCCCATCAGAATCAGATTCTCCTACCTGACAGGACTCTGTTATCAGACATTATTAGCACCATCTCCTCCTCCAGGCTGATGTGCTGAATGATGCAGGTGTAGTTGTGTTTGTTCGGCTCCTCAGGTGAGACAGTCAGAATGCTCCTCTTCTGGAAGGTTCCATCCTGGTTGGGTAGCGTCTCTCTGAGCTCCACCTCCTCATGCAGATCCTCTCCATTCTTCTGCCAGGAGATCATCACTGCTTTGGGGAAGAAACCTGTAGCATGACACACCACTGGAGAAGAAGGGTCCTTCTGGAACAGAGACACCTCAGGAGGGACTGGAGAGAGAGAGATTGCATTGTAATGCAAAAATTCGAAAAAATGTGTAATGGAAATGTAGCGCCCCAGCTAGGTGCCCAATAGCTTGTTGGTTATTTAAATGATTAAATATAGCTGGGGGCCCCGGGTTACTCAGCTAATTATACAGTAGGTTAGGCATAGGTGACTGATAAATGTATCTGACAGTTAGCAATATACACTCAATATGAACATGAAACATAATTATAGTACTAACAAATAACTCCTGAGTATGCAAAAGAAAATATCCAACACTGTAGATTTTAGTTTAAAATATTTGTATTGGCAAAGCCTGAACAAATAAAACAAAATAAAATGGGCCCACACGCACTCTGACACGCACAGCTCGCTCTCTACTAGTTAACCGAACCAGTTCTCTACTCCCCTCGTTGCAGGCCTGATACATGGCTCGGGTGTGTAGTGGCTGAGAAAACAAAACAACGCAATTGGCCTCTTCACTCCGAAGAGCAATAAACAAAACTCTCTACCGCACCTCTCCACCTCCCTCGCTCCCTCTCTCTGCAGCGGTGGAGTGGAGCACCGTAGTGTAGCAGCCAGGCTCTATTGGGTGCACTTTAGCCTGATTTAGCTACCACAGCTTGACTTATGAACAATACAACAGGCGATACTTCGAGCAGCAGGAGGAGGGTCTAATTGCAGCACATGAGGGCGTTTCTGTGATGCAGACACGCCCACCAGGAACGCCCGTCATGTGACGTCAGGGGCAGGTGGGATTTGGAGTAAAAGCCACTCACTCCTTCTGGAACATCATTCTCACTGTCTGTGAAACTTCATGCCCTCTTTGAATGGGGGGAGATGTAGCCCCCGATAGCCGTGTAGACGACCCTGCCTGCGATTCTCCTTCAACAACACAGACAGACAGTTTCCTCCGGGTCCGTCCGGCTCTTTATTCTAAATAAACACGGTTTCCTCCGAGTCCGTCGGAGGAAACCGTGTTTATCTAGAATAAATCTAAAATATTAAGATTTTACTCAAGAAAATACGACTTTTTCTTAAAATATTGTGACTTTTTCTCGAAGTATTAGGACTTTATTCTCGAAGTCTGCTATTTTTATTTTCATTACCAGTGGCCCTAAAACGCCGTCGTACAGAACAGCGCGAACAAAATGGGAAAGATTAATAAGGTCGAGATCAACGAGCGCTTTCATTACAGGTTATGATGTCGGTGAGTTACTGTTACATTAACATTTTACTGCGACCTTAAAACTGGTGGAAAATAAGCACAGGGTTGCTTGATAGTCAACAATATTCAACCTTGCCAAAGTTATTGTGCAAGCTGGCAGCACCACGGTAACCCCTGCTGAATAAAGACCATTAGGATTAAAATCTAATGGTTTTTGCCTCCTAATGGTTACCATTAGAGACCACTAGTTTCCAAGTAGAATTAGAAATGTATCTGGAACCAGTCACTAAGTCACTTGGTAAACAATTAGGATCCGTTACACTATCAACCTTCAAGAAAAGCCAAAATGCATTACAAACCAACCAGGAACCAACAGAAACTCTTAGTGGTTTCTATGTTTTGTTCTCATTAGGGATGTTAACATTATAATCCATGATTGCACATTAATTTAAATAGCGGCTGGTATGGAGCAGATTGTGTAGCACTGCTACCGTTATGATGGGCATACAGACCGCAAGGTCAAGTCGGGGATCACAAAACCACGAGACAGTACTCTACACAAATCACCAGAATCGAGTACATTACATATACATATTTGTTTTTAAATGCTAATATCAGGTAAACATGTAGAAACAATATTAATGTAGTATTAGTAACGTCTTTACAAATACTGATGTATTTTCCCCATTGAGTCGTATCCACCAATGAGAGAAGCCATTTTGCAGATATATCGGCCAATGAATGATAAGTAGGCGTTCCTGATCTGGGCGTTCTTGTTTTATGGAAACGCCTTTCATTGCAGTTCGACTCTATTGAATTCTGCTGCCGTCCCTCCCACTGACCCTGCTGATAGGCTGCTAATACTCCATTAGACGTTATAGGCTCAGAAAGAGGAAGAAGTAAGAGTTAATTCAGAAACAAACTTAATCAAATAACCAAATGTTTAAATTCAGGTGAATATATATTTGAACTGCTGCTTCACTTAAAAGAATAAAAGAAATAAACTGAATAAACAGAAACTTTTACATTTTACTGAAAGGACACTGAAATTGCTGATGCACAGGATGTTTAGGCTGGTGCTGTTATCACACCATGAAGAACAGAGCTACTGCAGCAGGAACACGTCAGCAGGTCAGTGTAAAAATATAACACTGATTACACTGAGGCTGTGTGTCCAACCTTAATACACTGGGACTAATATAGCAACTGCCTAGATTCACCCTAGCAACCACCTGGAACACAATAACAACCCCCTAGAAACAACCTAGCAACCACCCGGGACACCATAGCAAACATCTAACAACTACCTAACAGCCATCAGAGATACTATTGCAACTAGTCAGCAATATCTTGCAAACAACCTGGAACACCGTTATCAACTTACAGCAACCTAGCAACCACCCAGGACAATGTATGAAACACCTAGCAACAGTTACCACCTAGCAACACCCTAGCAACTGCCTAGTAATGCTACAGCAACCATCAGAAATACCATAGCAACAATGTAGCAGCATCCTTGCACCCACTAAGGATACCCAGCACCCACTAGAGACACCATTATCTTATAGATCTAATCTCACCAGAAACATCTCCTGAAAAACCAATAACTTTGAACTTAATGGTAATGTTGATTGGATATTTAATTAATTAGGGGTGCTCTCTCACTCTTTCACAGCTCTGAAGGACACATAAATAAGCCATTTGCAAAAAAAGGTATCAGTTAACACTGTATATTACTCTACACGTCAGACGTGAAGTAGATTCACATGCAGCATTTTAAAGTAAACTGTAGCCAAATGAATCAGTCAAAAAGGATAATAACCTTATTACACTTTATAACATTATTATTTCAGAACACTGTAGCAGTTCAGGTCTCAGATCAGACCGGGGGAAATGGTAATTAACAAATGTGCAGCAGGTGCACAGACCACTTTACCTTTCCTCTCCAGAGTGGATCTGCCGTAACCCACATACTTCTGTAACCACTCAACGCAGATGTTCCCCAGGTAGTTCTTCACCTGAGCAGCCCAGGCTTCTCTGTCCCACTTGTGTTTGGTAATAACAGCTTTAGCGTTGGCTGCAGTCCAGGTGAGAGTGTTCAGATCCAGACTGATGAAGTCTTCTCCATCATAACCATGCTGGTCATATCCTCTAATAGCCCCATCCTCATGCTGTTCACAGCCGTACATCCACTGCACTGTGTGAACTCCTGCAGAGACACACACACTTCATTCATATTGATTCAGATTAACAGTAACAGTACAGTGCATGAAGAGTAAGGCTGGCACTTGGATTTTACTTTCATGTTTTGGGGGGTTGAGTGCTTTGCTCGAGGACCCAACAGTGACAAATAAGCATATCTCTATATAGAACCCACAACCCTGAGATCAATCACACATGGCTCTAACGCCACCACTGCGCTGTCAGAGCAAAATTTTGTTTTTTGTTGTTTTTTATTTGTTGTTGCACAGATGTTAAATAGTAATATATTCATTATTTAATAAAATAATTCTTCATAAAAATAAAAACAAACAATAGTGTTCTCTCAGTTGGCTACATCACTTCATACTGGTTATATCTATTCCACTGTTCAGTGTTGCTTCTAAGCAACACACATATTCATGCAATTTCTCATAACACAAAAGCAATTCATATGATATTCAATCAGGAACGTTACACCCAACAGATGTGAATCACATCTTTTGATGGATGAAAAATTATGCTAGTTTTTATGCTTTTCTGTGGGGAATTGTCCAGTGTCATCCACACAATGAAATATGCTGGAAAAATAATGTTAAAATGCCCACTGAGAAATATGTTGACTAAGTAAAAGCATTTTACTGGTTTATTCCAACTTTTCTGTTCATTATTGGCCCTTTTATTAGCAAGAAATATGCTTTAATTCATTGAAAAGTGAGGACAATGGGTGTGTTGCCCTGAGGCAACATCGTGCAATAATCATTAGTATTTTCCATGTATAAACTGTATGTTAAAATATTATCCTTTTATTTGTTTTGCGTATGTGCTGTTTCAGTGCTGACAGCTCTGAGTGTGTTCACCTGCAGTCTGGTTGAAGCGCTGCATTGCCGTAGCCATGTTAACTTTGAAGATCTCCTGATTACTCTGACTAGTCTGGGTCTCTCTGTTCCAGTAATCTGGATGATCAGCATCAACCTCCTTTATCCACTCTGTCTTGGGGATCATCTTCCTGATGTTACTGTCATAGTACACAAACTGCTCTCCATCCACCAGACCCACCACAGAGAACTCTGGGAAGTTTATTCCCGGAGTTACTCCAGTGCAGATGTACTGCAGAGAGTGGGAGCCTGTGAGGATGAAAAAACAATGTAAAAAACCATAAAACAAACTGATTAATTTGAATTAATTTAAAAGTGAATTTTTATTTTTTTCTAGGCATTTTATCATTTATCATTGCTTTACTTTGAGAAAAAAAAGAGTTTATATACATTTGAACTGTTTAATCGCTTCACTTTAATGGTTTCCTTCTAAACTGTAAAGATGTGAACCAAAACAACACAATGTTATATTTTAATACTTTTTCATATTTCATATTTTGTAAAATATATGAATTTAAATAATTAATTTGAAATATTTTTTTCATGCTGTGTCTCAGCATGTCACCTGTATATAACCTAAATAAACTAACTATTTGTGGCTTTTGGTCTGTGTGGTTTCCAAAATGCCTGTTTCCCTCCATTTGTGAGTCATTTTCATATCACGTGTGGTAATTTAGCCTAGTGTGACTAAATAATAAGCCGTTTGAGCAGATCCCAACATTTTTCAGTGTATTGCAGGCATTAAATTCTATTTTATCATAAAAATATTATTAGAAAATGCAGTTAAGTTGGTCTGTGAAAATATTGTAATTTTTTCTTTGCCTTTTTGTCAGTTAAATAAAGAGAAGTAACAAATCACAGATTCTTGATTTGATCACATTTTACAAAATGTCCCAACTTATAAATATAAGTGAACAATTTATTTATTTTTTTGTAATTTTTGTGATACTGTATAAAAGGTCTTGTGGCCTCACCCCTCACCCAGCCAATCTCTAGAGGACTACATTATTTATTATTTATTATTTTAATAATTATGCATTCGATTAGGAATTGTTTACATAACTGAACTGAACTCACCTGCTGACGCCAGATGAACACTGAGAGCTAGAAAAAGGAGAGACTCCATGATTCACTGTATCTTAATGCAGATTAATCAGCTCAGACAGAGTTTCACAGCTCTCTGCTTTAACCAACCGGTCGTTAGAGTGTGGTAGATTTACATGAAGAGGAAACTTCCGTCCCCCTTATTCATACAGTACTAATTATCTGAATTGGTAACTGGATTAGTCTTCCTGTAAACTCTTGTCCAGAGACCGGCCTACAGTCTCCAGACAAACTCATAATGATCCTAACAGTCTAGTGCTCAAATACACCATGTTGTAGCATCTCACTCTGAATCATTAACACTTCCAGTGTAACTGGGTCCAATAAACGGTTTTACATGTTTAATTAACATTGGGCTTTTAAAAGGAATTCCTGCTTTCCAAATTTATATGCATAATTCAGAGAACCAGTGAACCTACACGTCTTCTGAGTTTAATATGGAACGCTGATGATGGTAAAATAGTGATTAATGTGAAAAACAAAGTGTTCTGTGAGGGAGCTTTTAGAGGTGGACGTCTGGTTCCTATCACCACCACTGTGAACAATTCTGACTCTGTAAGTTTCTCTAGAACAGAGCGTTTCACACCAAACCACTCTGAACGACTCTGTTTACATCTTAACCATTTAATTATATAGAAATGTTGAAAAATTGGGGAATTTCCTTGTACAAACAGTCTCACAGCTGCACAGCATATAATGAGGAAATGAGAAAATGTGGTTAAATCTGCAGCTCTTTGCACGGTTTGCAACGCCAAACCACAAACAAGACTGTGAGGGAAACAGGAACAAGGCCAAAACATACAAATGTACAACTGAAGATGGTGTTTGATGACTCATGTCATTGTTTGAGAAGGTTTTACTTTCAATTTCATTTTACAGGGACATAACAGTAAATAAACTTTGAGAAAAATGGACAATTGTAGTGAGTTTTAATTTTATTTCTCTGTTAGTTTTCATTCTTACATTCATCACTGCAGTAATACAGCAATTTTAAGCATAGTTTAAAGATACGTTGTTAGTAAAAGCAAATTCTTGAAATTTAGGCAGGTTTACTGGTGCTACTGTAAAAAAGTGACACTAAAATTGTATAATAAATAATATAATTATGAAGGCAGCTGATTTGTCAGTATCTGTCAGCTGATTCAGTAAGTTTGTTGTGTAAGCAAGCAGTAAGCCAATCAAAGCTGTTATATACTCTATGAAAATACAGATTAGATTGATTTTTCTTTATTATTTTTAGTGAAAATGACTTTATATGGTGACCCCTGGTTCCTATCACCACCACTGTAAAGACATTTGAGCCATTTCACACCAAACCACTCTGAATCACTCTGATTACATCTTACACACTGAATTATGTAGAAACTGTGAAAATCAGTGGAATTCAGCTTTTAAATTTAGGTCCATAAAGGTTACTAATCTGATAATCAACTGTCAGATTCATGTACGGGTTTTTAAAACTCTTAATGGGGTAAAATATTCCAAGGATGAAGCACAAAAAGATGAAATATGATATTTAACAACAGCGTCTCAAAATCTGAGAGCCAGTAGTTGTTTTATGAGTACAGTGCTGTCATGAGAATCGTGACCACTGAAAGTCCCTGTAAGGGGATTTGTGGTTAAAAACTGAGCAAAGAGCTGCAGGTTTAACCTCGTTTTCTCCTCACGGCCTCATTACAATAAAAGACAAAGTCACGGCTAACTGAACGTCTACATCATCACACGCTTCCCTCAAAGCCTCTGCAGGTGTTCAGTGTCTCTAATAGACTTCATTATGTGCTTTCTGACTCATTTCTGACTGATCTCTAGAAACATCAACTATACGGTACATTAGCATCACTAAAAGCAGTAGCAGCTGATATATGGCAGTATTTGGGTTTCTACTATCTGAGATATACTTTATTGAAGTATAAAGTATTGGGACACCCCTCCTAATTATTTCAGGTGTTTCAGCCACACCCATTGTTAACAGATGGATGAAAAGTATGTAGCCTCGCAGTCTCGATAAACAAACACTGGCAGTAGAGGGTCGTACTGATGAGCTCAGTGACTTTAAACATGACTCTGTCATAGGATGCCGCCTCTGCCACAAGTCATTCTGTGAAATTTCTGTCCTGCTAGATCTGCCCCAGACAACAACAGCTCAGCCACAAAGCGGTAGACCACGCAAACTCACAGAGCGGGGCTGCCAAGTGCTGAAGTCCAAATTGCCTCTGGAAGCTTCATGAAATGGGTTTCCATGGCTGAGCAGCTGCACACAAGCCTAAGATCAAAGTACACAATGCCAAGCGTCAGATGGAGTGGAGTAAAGCACCTCCACTAGACCACTGGAGCAGTGGAAACGTATTCCGTGAAAATGACAAATCACGCTTCTCTATCGGTCAGTCTGATGGACGAGTCTGGGTTTGGTGAATGCCAGGAGAACGTTACTTGCCTGACTGCACTGTGCCAGCTGTGAAGTTTGGTGGAGGAGGGATGATGATATGTTTTTCAGGGGTTGGTCTAGAACCCTTAGTTCCAGTGAAGGGAAATCTTAATGCTTCAGCACCAAGACATTTTGGACAATTGTATACTTCCAACTTTGTGGGAACAGTTTGGGGAAGAACCTTTTCTGTTCCAGCATGACTGAGCCCCAGTGCACAAAGCAGCTCCATAAAGCATGACTGGGTGAGTTTGGTGTGGAAGAACTTGACTGGCCCTCACAGAGTCCTGACCTTAACCCCATCAAACACCTTTGGGATGAACTAAAACAGAGATTATGAGCCAGGCCCTCTCGACCAACATCAGTGTCTGACCTCACAAATGCTCTTCTGGATGAATGGACAAAAATTCCGACAGACACTCTCCGAAATACTGTAGAAGCTTCCCAGAAGAGTGGAAGCTGCTATAGCTACAAAGGGGGACCAACTCCATATTAATGCCTATGGATTTAGAACAGGATGTCATAAAAGCTCCTGTAGGTGTGATGTGTAGGTGTCCCAATACTTTTGTCCATATAGTGTATATTAGCAAATATGGATTTCTCTTACATTAAATTTATATTAGTCACGTATGTGACATACTGTATATGCCAACTTATTTGAAGTTGGCCACTTTCAAATATGGGACACATATACCAACATATATAAACATGTGTACCACACATATTTAATGATATATGATAGTAAACATTTAATCTTACACAGAGGATATATATTACTCTCATATGCTACCTTCATGTTTAATATACGTTCCTATGCTGATGCTTCATGTATGTTGCTGGTGTATTCCCTATTGATTCTTTGCTTTTAAAAATGCTTTACATTTTTGAAAATCCCATTCATTTTTCTCAAAGACAAATCTAGCTCAGTCCTACAGTTTCTAATCTGGCATAACAGCAACCACAGAATAATAAACAATGATCTTTTTGAGGTTCTGTTGTTCTTGAGTCCACAGAAGTCCAAAATAATCAGATCCAGTCATTTGTTAACAGCAAGTAAAACATTGTTGAGGCCAAAGATGAAGCCCTATTTTTAATGCCTGTTTTCTTTGAAAGAGCAGACGAGCTTAACCACACTAACCCATTTATACTGGAGCACCATCTCCTGGAGACCTCGGTACTGAACCTAATGAGTTACACTGAGATTCACTCCCTGCTGAAAAACCGATAAATATGAGCAGAGCGCCATCTCCTGGAGACCCCAGTACTGAATCTATAGAGTTATTGCACTGAGATTTCTTTACCTCTATCAGTGGAGATGATCTTAAACCACTTTCAATTCAACAAGCTCATTAGCTGAATAGATAAGAATGAAGGTAAATTTCTCACAATTTCACCCAGGCCTAGTATTCCTTTCAATTTAAAGGAGAATTTCACAAAAAAAAAAATTCTGAGTTTCTACAATCAACTCTTTCACAACAAAAAACTCTGAATGACACTGTTTACATCTCAAACACTGAATTACGGAGACACTTTTAAAAATCAGTGGAATCGGCTTTTAAATCTAGGTCCATAATGGCTCTCATAATCAAGTAATGGCTGCAGTAAAAGTGAAAATAATTTGAGTAGAAGTAAAAAAGTATCAGCTCAAAAGTACGGAGTAAATGACTGAGTCATTAAAAAATCATCTGAATTGAGTTGATCATCTTGGACCTGATGACCTTCCTTAACATGATCTTTTTAGATGTGGAACACTTCATGGACCTAGCTAACTCACTCACTCACTCACTACAAGACTGTCCACAATGGGGAGCTAGTGGCACTGTAGCAACTTCTGTGTATGCTAACATTTTACATGCCAACTCAAGACGAGAGAGAGAGAGAGAGAGGGAGACAGAGAGAGAGAGGCACTTTGTACACACAGTCACAGGCCAGAAAACTGCAGAAAGTAAACAAGTGACTTTCATTGAGATGTTCAGGTCAGCAGCACACACTATAGATTAATATAAAACACAGCTATTATAAACTGTAAACTACATCTAGTTACATTGCTGGGTAAGTCAGTATGCTTTAGCCTGGTTCCAGTAGCTGCTCAGTTTAGGCTACAGGCTCTGTAGTTGCTATATTAGTGATTAGATGAGAAATTAAAGTTGTATTGTGTGCCTACAATGAGCATAAGAAGGTTAACCGTTAACTTTCATATTGACGGCATAGCATCAGTAACATTATTAAGAAATCAGCTGGTACATTAGACTGTATTATGTCTGGTTAACTGTATGAGCAGCCTGTCACCTCTGCAACAGTGTGATCGTCACCTGGCTCTTCTTCTTCTTCTTTCTCTGGTCAGGCGTGTTTAAGTTGCTGGTCTTTCTTTCTTTGACAGTAAATTTAAATGAAGCTCTTAAACCTAAAACTTTGTCATTTTGGAGCATCATTTGTTGAACGCTGCACTGACTGTGTTTATGAACAGGCTGGTTGTGATGGAGTTCAACTGGTTTTGTGTTGTTGATCTCCAGATTAATGAGCTTGATGTTGATAATATATCCTGTCCAGCTCTTTGTCATGTTATTTTGTCGTGTGCGTCTCTTGGCCCTGGTTGGTAA